AAAGCGAGGTTTTGAAGCTACAACAACACGTACAACGCTGGGATAGCAAGCAAGGCAGCAGCTACAAATCCGGCAACAGCGAGGTCGCTGGCAGCAGCAGCAATATACCCAGCAACAGCAGCTACCTGGGCGACAACGCTGGCTGAAATCTCTATCCTCAACACCACGATACAGCTTCTCGAGCGCCTACAGCAGCTTCAATTTACAACACAAGCTTAGTGGTTGCCTAATTAGGCAATTATACGATCCGTATGTGGTCCGAGCGACCGTAATACGGTTACGGTTCGTACTTAGAGCTTTTTTTGGACCTCCCGTACGTACAACACCAGAAATCGACCCGTACGTGCCCCAAGATAGCTTCAAACGTACCGTATTACGGTACGTTGGGAACGCTGGGGTCGTGAGCGAACACTCTTTGCAAGGGTTGCAGTTGGGTGGATGCAGTGTGAGTTGGGCTATGAGTGCTTCTGAACCAGAGGGTGCGTAAAGACGAGCACTGAAAGATTGGGTTGAGCTGGTCTGCAGATGGCTATAGCACGAAAGCATGCTATCTTCTCGACATACTTCATCACTTCATCGCCGTCAAAGTCGAGTGAATGTGTGCAGGAGATACAGAACAAAGACTTTATAGCGTCTCGAAAGCGCCATCTCACTATCCGTATACATGAAAGACGCCACTGCAGATGATTGGGCATGCGTGCGGTCATTTGCTGCTACAAACGTGCTCTGATCTGTTATTATACTATACTACATTAGCAAGAATTGCCGCTAGCGTCGTGGCGACGCGTGAAAGTCCACCAGTCTCCCAACTGGACACAAAAACTACTACTTCTCCGTGATTCCAAGATGCGTACCAGAAAGAAGCTCACCCTTGGCAGCTTCGACATAGCGATGGACTTCCTGGCGCGCTCCGCTACCCACGCTCTCCCGTACCGGTCCCGTTCTATGATCGGCAGCCAGGACTACTCTTTTCATTCTTGTCTTAAGCCTTCGTCATCAAACCAGAGTGTAAAACGCGTCTTAGCGAGACGGAGTGAAGCAGCGAAGCGAACTCGGATGGTGATATCTGTGCTGGGCACTCTGACATCCTATACCATTGTAAGAGTAAAAGCAACCGTGAGAGGGACTACCGCACGAACTGCATCTGTGGAAGCGTTTACATTCATCTCTTCTGAAACGACAAGAGTGCTTCGAGTAGTTCCAAAACCAACAGTCTGAACCTCTTTTCTCAGAGAATTTCCTGTGCTTTGTGGGATACATGGGTCGCCTGTCGCCGAGGCCATGACGAATCCTCCTAGGAGAGGCATGGATTGGTAGAGGCTTATGAGGAGCTTTCGGTGATGGATATGGTAAGCTCGATCGGTACATTCCATATGGTGGATGCAGGCTCTGAAAATCCGGTCGGTTGGAGACAGGACGACTGACGTGCGAGTGAGTGCGCAGTTCTGGTTGTAAATTGATGTGCGGAGCGACGTGACGTGTGCCTGGAAGTGCCAATTGTTCTTCATATGAGACTCGTCTGAGATACCATGTATGGTCCTCACTGGACCAAGGTCTTCTGCTCCGGTCTTCCTTCAGATCTTGGGCGATGGACGAAGTACCAGCAAACGGAGTCAATCGCTGCTGCTGTGTGAAGTCGTAGGAGGGGTAAGAAAGTGTCCGGCCAAAATTATCTGTGGTTGTCTTTGGCCGACCGTGGGGAGGACGGTTGTGTATTTCCAGCCGTGTGTCGAGTGAGGACGCAATGGAAGCATTCAGAGGCGGCGGTGGATACGATATCTCGGCGTTGAGTGGACTCTGCCTTGATTGATTGTGTAAAGGTGGCGCTGGAAGGTACCGTGGTAATTCGTCTTTGTTTCCCTGCGGAGAGGCTGGCCACGGTAGGTACGAGCCAGTACGTGGAAAGTATCTTTGCTCTGGAGCTCGATGAATCCCTGGTATAGTTTGCATCATATTGGCAGTTTTGGGAAGGACACGCAAAGAGTCAACAAACCGATGTCCCGTATGATAATAGCAAGTCTTTGGCTGTATGAGACAAGGTTGGTGTCTCGTGGCTGACAGATGCTCTTATTTATCTCTTCAAGCCAAATTTGAGATTTGGCATTCTGCTCTATACCCTTACGGCATTCAGCAGGTACCACCTCCTTGTGGAGGCGACGCATAGACTCAAATGTTCTGAGCCAATCGAGCGGCAATACGATCCCACCTTTCAATACCACCCGGTCAGAAGCCCGCCCGTGAGATTAGAAGGGGTTTTGGACCAAAGTGCGTCACAGGCAGGGGGCCAAGTCCCCGAGCACCTGCATTCAGGATCTACTCCGGCAACATTGGGCCAAGACTCCACTTACAAGCTGCTGGCCGTGCAAGCCACAAGAATGCTAGCAGTGTCGGGAGATTTAGAGATTCAGACAAACCTGCTGCAACCCGTGCCGATCGCGATGTGTTGATGTACACGTGGACGGCAAATCATGAACCTCTGGTGAAGCTACTCTCTGGGTAACCCCGATCCCGCAGGAAATTGACATGGCGCGGTTGAGCGACGTTTTAGTCTACGGCCGCGCATAATGTGTGCGTCCTGGAACAGATCAGCACTTCCACACTGCACAGAAGCCGTTCAAGCGAAGCTTGTAAAGGCACAGATCAGCAAGTGGCTGAACGTGGAACGAGCTTGACCGTGCTTGATGCTCGTCATCACGCCAAGGTCAATAATGCAGAGCAGTGGCGTCCACCCTCGCTCATATCTGACCACGGCCAGGATATCACAGCTAAGAAGAGAACCTGAAGCCACATGACACAATCTTGGTGGGGCCCAGAAAAAACGGGAGAGCGGGGAGGCCAACAAGCAGCTTGTGCTGGAGGATGTCTTCAAATGGCAAAGTATTGGATGTCAGAAAATACAGGCGCACGTGAACTCGTCCCCCTTGTATGATTGGCACCAGCTATCTTTCAGTTAAGAAATGTGCGGGAAAGAGTGCGGTGCGCCATCGAGCACCGCCATCCCACCGCCATAGTCAACTCGGCTTGCGACCCGGTGCGAGACGTATGATGGCAGGTTGCTTCCACATAGCTGTATAGCTTACCCCCGGAAATCGAGAATATGCGACTGCACCTCGGAGGCCAGGGGGTGAGCGTAGACGGTATGCAAGCATTCTTCCAAGCACAGCCGTCTTTACCACAAACAAAACGTGACTCTGTACTTCCGTCTCTGCCTCACTGCACCTACATCAAAAAGCAGGTTCACCTTGTCGAGTGCCGCTGAGATCATGCTACACCCAGCGACGGCCTCGCAGCACCCTTGGCTGCTACCGTGCCAAGGGTTCTGGTTGGTGATGGTTGTCGTAATGGCTGATGGCTGGTCTACTACATGCTTAGCAATCATCCCTTCAGTAGTAAAGCTCTGCCGCCAGCCAGCGTTGACTGCATGCGAGCGTCGCGACGGCAGCAGTTGATGTGTGTCAAAAGGAAGCCTCGGTGTGGGCTGTCCCACGATACCCGCTAAAGGCCGTGGCTAGTTCGCTTCGAGGCATTACGCACCCGATGCACTTTCCATAGCTGATCCCCACCAGATAACAGTTCGAGCCAATCACGCGCGTCCGTCTACCTGCCAGCAGTATGCAAGGGTCGCTAAAAGTGTCCGTGCTCCCAATGCTCATCCATCGAATGTGTGCGCCAAACTGCATCATGCCTATTCCTAGGATCGAGAATCTAGATGTACTCAAACAGGGGTATCTCCGCAATGCACCGCACCCTCCCGCACGGAGAGATGATGACTAGTCCACGCCTCCAGCATCCACATTTGGCGTGTCTAGCTATGAAGGCTGCCGGATCCCTTACCTCAAATTGCTGCAAGGCACTTTCACAATATATAGTCGGCCCTGTTCCCATATCGATGTCGGCATAGATCTCAAAGGCCGGGCCCCATGGAGCATAGCCGCCACCTTCAGTCGCGGGCGGTCAACCACGAGCATTGTCCCAACGACAGCACATCACATGGAAATGGCCACACTCCTCGTCCTGGAGCACGTCCTGAGGGCCTGCCATATTGTTTCCAGCCACCACCATCTGCCCAGCGGCACGCGCCTCTTGCTCCTTTTACCGTGCAGATCCTGGACTACGGCACTGCACCGCAGGCTCAGGCAAAGCAGGAGCGCGTCACCCAGGCCTGTAGCCAATGTCGTTTGCGAAAACAGAAATGCAGCGACATTCGGCCGTGCCAATCCTGCCAAGAGAACAACTTGTGCTGCGAAGACGCGGACGTTCCGCCACCGAAGTGCGTTGCCCGTTTGCTCCCTCTGGCTCATTACTGACCCCCCATAGGCAAGATAGAATGATGACGCAACTTCAAAAAAGTGTCAAAGGCGTATCTGACCGTCTGTCGCAACTTGTGGACCAGTTCGGCGAATGGAAAGCACGTGTTGATAGTAGGCTTCCACCATCGCGGAATCACGAGATAATGTCGCCTTTGGGGGTGCAAGCATCGGTTTCTATCAAGCAAGAACTTCAGTATGTGCCCCCTTCTCGACAGTAAACAACCCCTGCTGAGAGTGTGAGGCCCGGACGCAGCCATGTCACCGAGGAAAGCCCCACGGAGCGAATGGGTCTGCCGGGTAATCACACTACACCGGCGCACATGTTGCTGGACGAGTGGCTGCAAATGAGTATCTTCTGTGTAGGTGTCCCGTACCTCAGAAGCCTGGTAGACAAAGGCCTTGGAGTCTCCGACTACCCGATGCAGCTTGAGCAAGACCGCGGACTACTGCGCATCTGGGGTATCGGGGAGGGCCGAGACTCGGATGACGGGGCTCAAGGCCCTGGAAGCCCAGAGAGCAGTACCGATTCGGAAGCGCCTTCACCAGCACCCGTCAGAGAAGGCCTTTGGGGCTATCCATCTTCCGAGGTCCTAGCTGGAACGAGAGTACCGGGTAGCACCCCTCGAGAATACTTCCTGCCTAAGCCGCGGCAGGAGAACGGGCTTGGCGCAGATGGTCGACCCGACTTTCGACGCCATGTCATGTTCGACCTACTCCGGTCGTACATGGAGATCATGCACATTTTCCATCCTTTCATGAACGAGAACGGACTAAGACGTATGTTCAATGACTTCAGTGATCAGTACAGTCCTGATGCGACGCCTTTGAACGCCCACTCGCCTGCTCTTGTTCACGGAGTGAAGCGAAAGCGGTCGGAGAGTAACCTTGAAGGACTCCCTTCGCGTCGGGGTGAGATTGAACGATCATTGTGCAACGCGATTATACTGCTCGTTCTTGCTTTGGGCAAAGTGTGCTCGTATAAAGACCCTTTGCCTGCGCCACAGGATGACCCACATCCTCACGTCCGAAGCGAACGGGGTTACATTCGAGATTCTCCCCCTCCCAAAGGTAGTTTCAGCAATTTCAACAGCAACATCTCTGACGAGAACTGTCCGAAGAACATTGACCTGCTACCTGGGTTGGCTTACTATGCCTACGCCACCGATATCCTTGGAAACCAACAGGGCGGTAACACTGTTGCGCATGCGCAGGCTATGCTGCTGGCTGCGCTGTTCTTCAGTCAGTATGCACGAGTACTGGAGAGTTGGAGCTGGATTAGTAACGCTTGCCGGGTTGTCCTGGTCCTCATCAAAGCCGACTACACTAAACTGCTCCGTGTGAACAGCGAAAGAAGACCTACCTGGAGCTCTGAGGAGCGCTACCGAATCAACAGCATCCTTTATGTCTACTGGACGGCTCTGCAGCTGGAGTCCGATCTTCTAGCAGAGATGAGCACTCTGCCGCCTTCCGGCATCTCTCGATATCAGAGCGAGATCATGTATCCCGAAGGCGTCAACGAGAACCGGTCTCAGGACGAGGTCAGTAATCCCGTTCGGCAGAATGACGGAGTCAGCGCCGGCTTCAGAGAAGGTTTGATCATGAAGCTGTATTCTTCGCAGAGCTTCCTACGCGTTGTCCTTAACGCAGCACACGACGCCTTGTACAGTCCCGGTCGCTGCATAGACTTTGGTCCTACTAGCTTCAACGAAGTTGCTAACCACGCACGTACCCACATGGAGACACTCGAGGGCTGGAGGAAACTGCTTACACCGGAACTGGTGTGGTCGGACGACGACTACCCCTCGACTGATCTCAACATCGCTCGTGTACGCGCCAAATACTATGGCGGTCTATACATGATGCTGCGACCCTACCTCAGAATTGCGATCCACACACTCAATTTCTCACCTCCGCCTTCTAGCACGACTGGCGTTACGCAGCACAGTTTGCCGTCGCGCTATGGAAGTGCAGCTCCAAACAGAAATGTGCAGATGGTTGACCTGAACGAAGACCAGCGCAAGGTCATCGGGATCGTGTGCCGATGTATCGACGCCGCTATCCGGAGTACCATCGCATTTGATCGTGTAGGCGAAGAGCCTGGTAGCCAATACCAATACTTCCAGCTTGCGCGCAGGAAGAGGCTGATCGTGACTAACATTTTCGGTACACTGCACGCGTCAGTCTATGCTACCTAGATCCAAACTTGACACCGCCCGCTGACACTCAAGGTAGACAATTCGGCAACATGCTCGTCCTCGCCTCAGTATACAAGTCCAAACTATACCCCCTCCTTCCCAGCGACACATGGCTCACGAGAGCCAACCTGGCCGCCCTTTTCAAACGTACCATCGCGGTCATCAGCGAGGAAGCGCAAAACTCGCCGATTCTACGTATGGATCTCGAAATTCTCAGGAGCATCCAGAAACAACAGGGGCTCGAATAAGGCGATTGTCATTGGCGTGGAGTCTCCCACCGAAAGTGGTAGTACCCCCGCTCTAGCACGTGCTCTGAGATGCCCATCCACCAACCATCTCATGGCATGGCACGTTGCGATATGCCCTGGGCCGTATAGACTATGCATGACACAATAAACGATATACGTTGATGCTCTTGTTCCGTGGCACTGTAGTTGTTCGCGTGTCGTTGCTTTTACGTCTTTCGTCTTGGTGGAAGCAAGCGCAGTGTTCCACTTGCCAGTCACATCCCATCACAGGAGAAGGGTGCCGTCTGCGTCGCTAAGCTGCGATCCACCGCCTCTAACAGGAAGGTCACGGCAATAGGTAAAATACAGAATACTAATTACTACACAAACACAGAACGGAAACTAGAGACAGCATGATCTCTGAGACACGATTGCTACTGTGCACAAGGTGTGTCTATATGCGGTACTAGCAGCGCTGACTACCACACACCAGCTACCCGCGCCAACATGGTTGACAGCGTCGGATGGTACCCATGAGTTGTTTACTACCAGCGCCTACCAGTCGGTGCTTGGCCCCTGTCAAAGCCGCAAGAATAAGATGATTTCGTTTTGAGTACGCATGACTAGCGAGAAAGGAGATGTTCTGGATGTGGGTTAGCTTTCGAAGGTTCCCACTACGCACGTGTGTAACTATCAACTCTAGCCGTCAAAGACTATCTCTCTCTCGTAGAAGGTGTTCGACATGATTGTAGTACCAAAGATCCCTCCCTTCTATCCGCTGCAACAGAGCAGGACCAAGTCTGCTAAGCTGCTGGAGAAGCAAGAACTCGAGATTCGATGGCGGCCATTGACATGGCTAGGTTGACGAGTGCGAGAAGCAGCCGCTTGTTACCATCCAGACCGATGGTATTCGTAGGCGTTGTCATCAAAGAACTGGTTGTATGGGCTGTAGGGCGTGCTATCGTCTAGGAAAGTGGTGGTTCTGACGTGGGCTTGTTGCCCGCTGGTTCTGTCTCAAGCTCCCAGCCAACTCACTGGTAAGCATGCTGCGTCTAGCTGTCTTGGGGGACATGGTGATGGGTGGACGTCGGAGGTGGCCATGGCGATGGGCTTTGGGCGAGAAGCTTGCTCACGCATCATCAAGCTAATGTCTTCGTGAGGAGAACTGTTGGCAGAAAGGCCGTTGGGAGTAAGGGTGTACGGTTCTCCAGTGGTAGTTGATAACTGCGACGTGGCATCCTGCAGAGCCGATGCATGGTCATCCTGATGGAGGGCAGTTGTGATAAGAGAGCGGCGTGAGGCAAGACTGGTCTGTGATTCGACACGCGAGAACTGGGAGAGGGGCTCAGGAACAGTGAGCAGACCGCTCTCCTCGTTGTCGTCATCGTCTTCCCACGCCTCATCAGAGTCTTCTTTCTTGATGGCGCTCTCGTCGATGCCGCTCTCTTTGTTGTCGCTCCCAGTGGCAGCCTTGCTTCTGTCGAGGACGCCGTAGAAAGTGTGTGTGCTAACTTCGCCGAGAGTGAACACGGGCTGTGTCTTCTTGCTGGCGCCGGCGTTGGCGGAGAGAGGCTTGGTGACGCGGATAGAGGTCTTCTTGAAGATGGGAGCGAGGTTCAAACCAGTGCTGCGCCGTACTGATGTGGAGATGTGGCCGGGTTCGAAACCACGGATGACGGCATGCCCACTCAATTCAGTAGATGCAATGGCTTTGGACCCAGCTGCAGAGCTTGCGACGAAGCAGCGTACTGAAGCGGCTTCTGTAGAGGAAGTTCTGGGCGTCTGCTCGACCGCAGACTGGGCGTTCTGTGCTGGAAGGGGCGGCAGCAGCTCAATGAGTCCCTTCTTTCGTATCGGTTGGATGGCATTCTCGAGATGAAGAGATGTTGTGTGCTTGCCGCGGGCGTGACTGGTAGCAGAGTTGTCGCGGCGCAGGCTGGGACAATCGGCCGAGAGACCAGTCCGGGAAATCGCGGTGGTAGCAGCTTCCGGATCAGAGTCGTCAGAGATAACGCTGGCAGCTCGGGCGCATCTATGGCGCTAGCCGACAGTTGTCTCTGCTCGGCCAACCAGGGGGTAGCCATGGGGTCTGGCTGGCCGCAGAGGGTCTCGCGGAAGCACAGCCGCCACGCCATGTTCCCGTAGCGTTTTCCATCTTGTAAGGCGAGAGAGCATTGTGCGAAGAGCCTTAGATGGAGTTGGTGACCGTGGTGTAGTCTTGCAGTTCTGACGCTGTAGTATAAGATAGATAGTGTGCATAGCAGAGCCACAGCTCCTGCTTGCCACTTACCACTCTAGAAGCCTGGATGATTCTGCCTGCTGCGTGCTCTGGTCGTATGTATTGAGCTACACTCAACCCATGCTATGATATGTTTCGCGCGGAGAGGCATTTTGGACGTTGTGCTCGGTTGGCTGTGAGGTTCGTGTAGGTGACTGTGATGCTGAGAGTCCACTGTTGAACACCAGCCAGGCGAGGAGATAGAGCAGATACTACAAACGGCAGGAGATTCTATAAGATACTCCGAAGACTATCTGTAGATTCACACAAGGTTGGCCATTCTCAGACTAGCTCTGAGAGGAGGGTCATATAGCAAACATAGTCTTGCTGAACGTGCTAGAGCTCGAGTCTTGATGACGATATACCGAGGAATAAACGCGGGATACATAGGAAAAGGACTGTATGCACAGAGGATACTTCCAGAAAAAGCGAAAGCCACGCGAATCGACACGCAAGGCGCACTTTTGGCGCCCACCTCTCCCTGGGCCCCCTGGTCCTCGGCTCTCGCAACCCGAGCCCTTGAACAAAGCATCTGGCTGGAGGAGTCGCACCCAGCATCGGTGAGAGTCTCAAAAAAACGTTCGAACCTCCCACTGTGCACGATCACTGAGTAGTGAGTCGTGTCTAGCGTGACGAGAGAAACCTGACAAGTACACTCTTGTTGTGGTCTTCACGACGGGATAGCAGCGAGAGAAGGATGTCCCAGACAGTCGTCCCCACTGTCTCCCGCCCTCCATCGTGTGCCATTGATGTGTCTTGGATGAAATGCTTACCCCCTGTATGGTTCGTCGTTGGGTAGACCTTGCAGGTGGCGTACAGCCGAGTGGGGTGGGTGCAGTAGCTCCAAACGCAGAGCAATTGGCGTGTGATCGAGGGAGCGGTCAGGCGAGATGCGAGATGGAATACAGAACCGATGTTACGGCATTAATCCCCCTGGCTGTTGGTCACAATCTACACGCTCGGTCGCTAGAGGATGCCTCCTGTTTGGCTACTTGTCGTCTCCACTATAGTGCCAGTGCAACTTCCTCGCACCAGCCGTTCGTGCGAGCTATACTAGTCAGCAAGTGGCTGTCACTCACTAGCACTACTCTGCGAGGAAGCGCAAGTCACTGCTCAATGCATCGTCTGTCATGGCAGCGTCGCCCAAAGCGGCGAGCCCCAGACGGCTGTCTTTCTGGGAAGACTACCGAGATTGAGTAGTGACAATAGTACAATGCATGGGAGCGTCACGATGTCGTAGCCGCAAGAGTGGAGGGTCATCATGCACCGTGCATTGTCCTAGCAGCTCGGCGTTGTGTGACTCGTGCGCGCAGGCGCCTACAAGCCAGCAGCGCGTCTGAGCAAACGAGAGAGATTCGAGCGGGTTGCCCGCCAACCGAGCGGCGGCACGGTCTGGCATGTGGAAGCGTGGGAACATGTACGGGAAGCTTTTAAGCCGATGCCAGTGCTCATTTGCCATTGTATATCATCTTCTGACAAGAAAGCTCACCTAGCTGTCCAGCAGAAGCCGTCGTCTGCACCAGCCACCGTTCTGTTCTGCCTCTGAGAGCTTTCAACCTTAGCGTCGATCCGAGATCTAGTAGCTTGCATCACCTCACGGGCTGGCGTGAACCCAGCCCCTCACCTTCGTCCTGGATATCAACCTCCTGATCGAGCCTCGGGCTCGGGGTCCAAAGGCGCCTGCTAGCAGGAAGAGCTTCATATCCTATGCATCCGGCTCGACAGGAGCGACAAGAAAAGACCCGCCCACATCTCCATCATGCACATGGTCTCCCTCGCAAGGGGCGTCACCCACCTCCACTCCTGGAGCACCAGCATACCCAGGTCCTCAGCATTATGCGCCAAAAACCGCTTACACGCAGGAACCGACATCAGCTCTCCAAGAACTTGCGCCCATGCTAGGAGGACCTGTTCTGCCCGCCACATCAGAACTTCGCCAACACGCTGAGTCTGTCTCACTCCCGCACATTCGTTCACTCTGGCCCGGCCCATATGAACTCTCACCGCCGCTTCGCACGCAGAGCAATAATCACTTCGCCCCTGCAACACTAAAACGAAAAGCTTCCCAGACTCCGCTGCCTGACGAGCATGCAGCCAAGAAACAGTCGAAATGGACACCGGAAGAGGACAATCTGATCATCCAACTGCGGGGTCAAGGAATTAAGTGGGACGACATTGCGAAAGATCTGCCGGGAAGAAGCTCCATCTCCTGCCGACTGCGGTACCAGAACTACCTCGAGAAGCGAGCCATCTGGGACGAGGAGAAGAAGAACAGATTCGCAAAATGCTACGAGCGGTACGTACTACTCGACCGCTCCAGATGCCCAGACTGCTCCGTTTTGATCACCCGTTCCTCTGTTTTGATCCCACATCTTTAGCTTCGACTGCACTCTAGCACCATCTGCCATTTTCGCATGTGACACGTCTCTGCGCGTATTCGCACGAACAACACTGACCTTTGCGCTAGCCTCAAGGAACAAATGTGGAAGCAAGTAGCTACACAGATGAACATTCCCTGGCGGTCCGCTGAGTGGATGCACTGGCAGCTGGGAGAGCAGGAGATGGGCGCGCGCGCAAAGGCACCAGTACTCCAGCCTCACCCATCTACTAACAGTACAGGCATGAGCTCGTCAGCCCAAGCGCCCGTTGTACCTGCCTCTACCCCGTATGGCTTTACGCCTTTCAACTCCCCTCAATCGACGCCGCAGCTGTGCCAGGTGCCTCCGCCAACGTCTCAAGGACTCCCGGCGCATGGTCCCCGGCGGAATGATAGTGGCTCCAGCGCGGGCGGACGAACAAGCCTCAGAAGTCTGGACCCTCGATCTTTTTCAAGCGTTACTCCTCCAAAAATCGAGCTACAGTTTGATGAAGACTTCGGTGGGATAGCACCAGTGCCGGAGATGCAATCGGTCATCAAGCGAGAGATGGAGAACCCCAACTATACGGAGACTTACCATGTGAGAGAACAAAAAGACAAGGCTGCAGTTTTTCCGCAATTGGAACACGAGACAGGGTGTCGAGGTGCGAGGAGTCTCGACGGGATATCGCAGCGCAGCGCAACCGGAAGCAGCAAGAGCATCAAACGCGAGCCAGAGGAAACCGGACGAAAAGCCGCAGTACCTTCCGCGACCCAGATGTGCGAGTTTACTGTCCGGGGTGGTACAAAGTTGGAACCGGACTCGTGAACGCATAGCAGTATGCGATGGACAAACGTAGTGACCCTGCATGTACCGCGAGACTAGAACCGGCTAGGGTGACATTAATGGGCTCTATCGTGTCCTGACTGCATCCTTTTTGTTCTAATAGGATGTCGGGCGATCTATGCGAATGAGCTGGGTACCATCTTGCGGGGTGCGAGCTAGTAGCGCCTTCGTTGGTGATAATGTGCTGCACGCCTGCAGGTACATACGAGTGGAGACGATCGCTGCAGCCCGCCTCCACGAGCTTATAACACGTCCGTCCGCTCCTTGAACGGCTGCGACCTCTGGTACCTTTACTTCGGCTGCCTCAAGTACCCCGCCACTGAGGTTGCTTGTCTGCCTGTCTGTCTGCCTAGTGAGTCACATGTTCTGCACAGCCTGCCCAGTGGACTTGGCTAATGGATGTTTGCTAGTGGCGGATCCCGCCCTTCGAACATCACCAACTCCATACGATCTCCAGCAACGCTTCAACCTACGACTTGCCTCGACCGACCGCTGTAAGACAGACCTACTGCCATTTGCGGTTTGCTCCCGGGAAAGCGATCATGGACGCGCGACATAGCCAGCGCTATCGGTAGTGGCGGTGAACGTGTTCCACCCTGATTGGACTGCTGAGGCTAACTAGGTGCGGGGCACGGGCTTCCGCGCATGCCTCTTTCTTGCGTGCGCTGTTACGTGCGCTGTTACGTACGGCCTGACCTGCGTCCGCGATATGAAGAAGCCGACTACTAGCGCTGAGTTTGGAGCAGCGAGGGTAGCATCCTGCGCACGTTTGCAATAGGCCAGTATGGTAACCTTCGTCTGCCGTGCCCGATAGCTTTGTCCTGTTTTGTGGTGCCCGACACGCGCGAAATGCATAACGGCCCAACGCAAACATCACTTTAAATCAATAAAGCGAAGTGAACATTTATTTCGCTGTTGGTAGTTGGTGGTCGTGGGTCAGGAGACCCCACCATCGCTAGAAAACTTTGGCGAGGCAAACGCCCCGCTATCAGCACCCCTCGTCTTCCTGACAGCACTGATTTCCAGTATCTCTGGCCTCTATCGTAGGATCATATCTTTACACACTGAGCAGTATTGTGCCGCGAATAACTGGTATACTATCCTTCAACTGCTGCGAGCCGGTCCGAACGATGCTAATTTCAGCTTAGGTCCGTGCAGGACGCGCCACCAAAGAGTCCTCCAACAAAGTCATTGCAGACGTATTTAGCACGCCTAGTTATAGTGTTCGCCGCTACCAGGCTGTGCTAGTAATTCGATATCCCGTTCCTTCTATACGTTGTTTGCCCCGCGTATGTCCTAACACCTGTTTCACCCGCTACGAAATTACGAAATTTTCCGAAAACATCAAACACGCCCAACAGCTTGTGAGTGTGTATGTGGAGTGGCAGTCTATAAGTTGCAATTCTTCGCCACCGAGGGGCAGGACCACAGAGATACATAGTGAGTTGACATAAGCTTCCATTTGCTTACAAAACTCTTGGCTAATATAAGTGTTTCAGTTAGGTGGAGAACTACGTACCAATCTTAAGCAATCACATCGCCCAATCGATTCGAGTGTTTTCTACAACGTCGATACCCTTACGATACCAGCGTAAAGATAATCGAAAGCCAGTTAATTTGAAGGAATCATCGTAGAAGGTCAACAGGCATGGAGCTTGTTGTGAAAGAAAGAGGCGGGATGTGGGAAGCTCAGGAGGATTGCACGGTCACGGTCACGAAGGGGTCGGTTTTCAAGTGGAGTAAGAGTGATGAAACACAAACTGAAATCAAGACGGATCAAAAATCTACGTTGAAGAAGGGGGAAAGTATAGTATCCGTCGAGCCCTATGAATTCACTAAGAAGACTCAGTAGACTTCCAGCAATTCTGGAGCCTCGTTTCGAGGCACCGTGCAGAACACCGTTGCCATATGCCACTGTGACGTGAAATAAGACACTCCTTTAAAACCTGATGTTTGCAGACATATCTTAAAACACTGAGATTTCTTACAACCTTGCGATTGCTTCTTCCAGGTTTCGCTGCGCCTTACTTGGTCTACAAGCGCATTATTTGGCAGTTTTCCTAACGAAGATAGTGAGATACTACCAATCCAGAGGTTTCCGTCAGTCTTGAGCGGAATCTCCTCTGCTGTTAGAAACGAAGCGGCCCAGTATGTTGGCCACCCGTAGACTAGGCAACAATCACCTTGCTCAGTACAACTAGTCTGACCAAGATACTGGAAACCCGGGGATGGGTGAACTCGAAGGTCCGGAATCGGCGAACGGATCGTGGAATGCGACGCTATATGAGCAAAAGCTTCGACACCAGCAGACTGTTCGGGGCTTGTAGACATGCATGACTCTTGATCAGATGCGCAAATCGACTTGGAAACTGCGTCCTCGGTCAGCATGAGGTCATTACCCCCATGTGTGCCTGGTTGTCCAGATCTGAGACGCCTTCGCTTTCTCTCAAGGCTTTCTTCGTCGTTCGCACGCTTGTTGTTGCACTGAACGGACCCTGGTGCCACCTGGGTATGAACATCAACACCGCTGCGCTCATCAGTTTGTCTTCCATGGAATGCCGGCGAACCTAAGGCCGCGTCGTTGGGCCATGTTGGTAGAGAATTTGAGTTGTGCCGACGAACCCCTTGAATCCCATCCATATGCTGCTCGAGAGCGTTTGAAGGAGAGTTTTCCGCCTCGATTTCGACAATGATATCGCCGTGCTGAAGTTGCGTCGTAGGCATAGTAGCTACGTCGGGTGTAACCTTGTGTGAGGATTGTACTGCCATGTCGGGACGGTTTGGCCCTGAGTCGGTACTTTGTGAGGTCTTCATGATGTACAACAGGATTTCTCTGTATTTACAGGGTCTCGATATGAATTTGTCAGCCTCTGAGTACTCCAAAAGCATCCATCCAAGAAGCGGGTCGTCGAATGCCTCTATCAGAAGAACTGCATCTTTTTCTTGCTGTGATGGGTTTGCTTTTTCCAGTAGTCCACAGCGCCAATTCTTCCACCCTACACTCGGCTGCGATTCTTTCGCCTTAGAGCAAGATTTTCTAATGCTCTTCCAGTTCAATGGTGTCTTGTTGCCCGACCCTCGGCCCTCACCTTTCTCTTTGCCTGTCTGGTTCTTGTTTTGAAGTTTGAATAGGCGTTTCGTTACGTCGTTCATGTTGCGACGCCGTTTGAGAAGCTTTACACAGTCTTTGCAACGGTTGTTTGCGCTACCGCATAAGCTGCAGCTTATGCTCTCGTCCGGATCCAGCAACTGAGCCACTTGCATAGCACTTGGGAACATGACTATAGTATGTCACAAGAGTTGTTGGGGCTAAAGTAGCAGTGAGGTCTGCACCGGCGAGTGAGGTGTGTGTCAATAGGTGAGGTGTGCGCCGACGAGTGAGGTGTGCGCCGACGAGTGAGATGTGCGCCGACGAGTGAGGTGTGCGCCGACGGGTGAGGTGTGCGCCGACGGGTGAGATGTGCGCCGACGAGTGAGGTGTGCGCCGACGAGTGAGGTGTGCGCCGACGAGTGAGGTGCGCGCCGACGTATAAGAGCACTCTAATGCCGCTACTAGTTATGCCAAGTGCAAAGTGGGTCGATTGGGCCGTGTTTTGCAGTAAGCCTCAGAAGCATTTGATTCGCTAGCCAGGTGTGATTGGCAAGTGGAATCGCCACTCATCACCACCCCTTAACGTGGCGTTACCTTTCGGAAGCGCGTGTCGGGCCTTTCCATCATCTGATATGCCCCCATACCGCTAGTGGCCATGGACCCCCATGTACCTGGCGTTCGTTAACGGGCCTGTAGGCGAAAACTTTACCTAGACGTCTCGTCTCGCTCCAGATTTCTCGCATGGAAAGCAGATCGCAACGCAAATCACGCGCATGAACGCTGCGCAAACAGAGGAAACATGATGGCTGCCCGTGCGAAAACTTGACTTATTGAGGGATGCGCAAAACCCAAAGCAATCTGCAAAGACCTTCGATCTCCATAACCTAAAATGCATCACATAATGGAGCCCCGAGTGACAATTGCCATCCTATGCTATACACTTCCAAACACGCACATCTCCAGTGAGGCTGCACGGCACGGAACCGAAGCCAGCGTGCCGGAGGAGCACCTACGCTCTCCACATCGTCATCTGTCAATCGTGGCTTTGGCCATTTCCAAACCAGGAGTTCGGGCCAGACGGCTGATGCTGCCCGGTACGGACTAGAAGCTGCTCGCATGGAAGTCGTCTTACCCCCGGCGCCATATTTCCGCTCGAAGCGAGACTGTGGAACGGGTGCGGATGTGCTTGGAGACGATCCGGCGGACGAGCAGGGTTCAGGTCTCCACACCCTCGTTCGGCTTCTGCTTGCAGCACGGTTCTTAACGATCGTACCTTGCAGCACAGAACGTGAAGCTCAGCCTCTTTCGTTTGCCTTCTTCTTTGCATCGCCTTCTTGTCTCGCCTTGTCCGAACATCGGAGCTGCAGCCGTCGCAAATGCTGTGTCATCAGTTTCTACTGCTACTCGTTTTCGGTGGACTGACCGTCACTTCGGCCAGATACTGGAAACTAAGCATACGTCCTCCTCATGAACCCAAGGCGTTCGGTATCGGCTTTAGCGATAAAGCTTACCAATGGGCTCGTGGTGGGCTTATCGCGAGCAGGGCTATAGCCCTTTTCTTATCAGCTGCCGCTCTGGTTCTATCAATTGTCGCTCTGGCTCCATCTACACGAACGGAGTTGTATGCATGGACCAGAGCTATGGAGAGGAATGCGTGTGTTTCTCTTGCATTTGCCGACGCAAGTGTTTTCTCTTTCCCCAATTCCCTGTTGGTATAGGAGGCTAACACTTCGCAGTGTGTGGCTAGTTCCCTAATTATTCGCAATGGAGAACTCTGGCTGTTTTGCATGGTATGCGTCTACAGCTTGCTCAATCTGCCGTTGGCGTTTGTGCCCCCAGTTCTCGAGCATGTGGGCTACACGGGCCATGACGAATGGTATTTTCATCTGCCAGCTATATTCATTGGCTTGGTCGTGTGTGCGGTCCACTCGCTGCTGCTGCTGAGGCAAATCTGGTCCCAAGACGAGAGCACCCCTCTTGCCCGACGAACAGGTATCAGATTCTGCATCATGTCCGCCTCGGAGGCTGTTGCTTTTCTAGCACTGACTGGTTTCTTCTTCTGTAACAAACAACTGTACGAGGATCTGCCGGTGGTGTGTTCTTCTCCCCTTTTGATGGGCTGTCTTACTAACAAGAGAATAGTGCATCTTGTCCACGATGACACTTCTGAGCTGCTTGAGAATGATTTCGTCTAGGGCAACTTCAGTCGATTTGCCGACGAGCAGCACCAAAGATGCCGATAGCTCGAACAGCGTGGTGAGTGACAGCGTCTCTAGCAGCACGGTGGGTGCCAATGTCTCGAGCAGCACCGTACATGCTGGTGTTTCGGTTGAGGAGCTATGGAACTCCTGTGGAGAATCCGATTGTAATATAGTGGACATGGAACGCTGGAGACTTGGCTTTGGGAATACCGATGGATCAAAGGTTTAAAGAATGGAGGTTCGTTTGGGGGCACATAGGCTTTTGCACGAAATCAAGTTTGAGAGTCCAATTCCTGCCTGGTATAGAAAGTGCCCTTCGACCTCAGCTGTGCTGTTTACTTTTCCTGCCATTGTGTAGGGCGTATGGCCTGACAAGAAGGCAAGACAAATGCGGGAGAACATGGCCTATGTACGATTACTTGGAAGCAGGCTTGCCGGGTCGCATGCTGATTCTCGGCAACTGCCTTGCCATCTTGCCAACGGGAAAAATTCTGCGATTGGTTGCTGGAGTGAGTGGTGGAAGAAAGTTCTGAGAACCTCGAGGGCCGTGCCGATCGTGCAGCCAGGTCTAGCGGTCGACAGTATTCCCGTTCGACTAGTTCGGCGGATCGGTGGCGAGAAGGTACACGAGTGTCAATCAGATATGAATCGACAAACATCTTTCCCGCTTGTATCAAGCCCTGCCGGTAAAGTGTCGATCGGTATATCGTCTTCTCACCAAAGTCAGAGTGAGATCACTGCAAAGGTCATTGGAACTGTTGACAAATGATTGATGAGGAAGTTGTAATTCTTAATTTAGCAATTCAGGTAGACATCGCTTGTGTCGAAGGAGCCGTCTCTTTAAGATGATCGCGTACGAGCTCCGGACCATTGGGAAGACTGCAAATATATTGCAAAGTGAAGCATGTCTCTAAGCCTGTAGTACATGCCGGCATGCGTACTCCAGAGAGATCAGTCCACTCCGATACAGTGTGTTCTACCCATGCTCGGACGTCTTCTATGCTTCTGATATCTATAATCCCAAGCACTTCTAGCTGTTCTGTGGCTTGTGAATCATGCTGTTTTAGAATGGGCATCGTGTGGTCCCAGCCATCCGCCTGCAGGCTCCGCCTATCCGGCTCGTCTGCTCTTATCTCGGGTGTGACGTGGCCAGAAGCCCTCCAACTAGTGATTTTTCGAAGCATTCCGAAGCAATTGTACTTGTCTGCTGTTTCGCGTGTGCCTGATTTACCTTCTCGGCGCTATGTGCTGATTAGATCTAAACGTTGGATGGGCATTGTCACGTACGGTTGGTCTGATGCACCCGAAAGACGGCATAATGAAGGATGGCGAGTACAGGAGAATGGTAGAGGAAAAGTCTAATGGTGGTTTAGCAATGACTCGATGAGTTTCTACGTCTCTCAGCAAGTGCACCGCGGCTATAAGTATTAGCAATGTCGGATCTTTATCACAGATTCCAGTCAAGCCATACGAGAGTTAGTGGGAAGGCCAGACGCGTATCGCTCAGCGCTTCCGGAAAGTGACTCCAAATCTAGCTTGGCATAAGAAGAGCGACAAGGCTCCTGTTCTCATTCACATAGCCACCCAAGTCAGGTCTGGTGTGCCCTACAGCATCGAAAGAATGAATTATGCAACCCAACCCTGCATGCCGAGACGGAGCTTGCGGTTGCAGCAGCTTCTTGAGCACTAGCCGCCCAGCCGGCCTGGAAGGGTAGCAATCTGCGGAGCGGGCTAGGAGAGCCAACTCATGGCGACAGGAGGCTTACGTCACGTTCATGCACCGTTGAGTATCGCTTCTACATCTCCAACTCCACTACGTCCTAGCACATCCCTTGCATAATCCGCATGCACGGGAAAGCGAGCTGAGACTTATGTAGCGTGAGAATGTCTCGGTATCGATTAACGCCACGTGCAAGCCTGGCTTTCTTGCAGGAGCCCTGGAACCGGCCGCTCTTGTGGCAACAGGCACAATGTACATTTTCGTCTTGAGGTGCGTGTCTAACGGTCGGGCCCGGACGCGGATAATAGTGCCCCGCGCAGGTGGTTTGCCAATATTACATCCGGGCTTCTTGTACGCCTAGTAGCCTACCGAGACGCGGCGGACGGACATGTCGGACTATGGACGGCCTCTGACGCTGCACATGCAGGCCACCGCATCCGGTCCCCAAGTCCACCACTGCTTCAACGGGAAGCACTAAAGATACCGCTGACCTGTCGGGAGATCCTTGGCTATGTTGGCCTGTCCGTTGCTCATTTCGGCTGAATGATTCGCTTCACTTTGCTGCCGTTCCATGCTGGTTTCTCATAACCCGGCAAAGGACTTCTCGAGACTATAACAGCACCACCCAAAGGCCATGTAGAGTCCTATCGCGTCCAGGACATACGAAATCTACTTCTCAGCATACCAAGAATAAACGACATCGAAATCTAACCCCCGCCAACGATGACGGTTCCTGTTTTGACCGCAAGCGCACCCTGTCTACAAAACCGCCCGCCAGATGTTCGAGATGGTGAAGGTCCTACTTCCGCATCGCTCGACAGCGGCAGTGTCCAGGCTAGTCGACTTGATGAAGACGAAGTCGGCTGCACTGATCACAACGGCCACGATGGCTATGATTCCTCTTTGAAGCGAAAGCGGAGCAAGCAAGACCAGTTTCCATGCTCATACAAGAGCTCTAGGCACCAAATGTCTCCGCTGAGTCTCCAGCCTCCTGGCTACATCACCACCATTAGCGAGCAAGACTCGCTCCGAAAAAGGCGAAGCGACGATACCTATGGCAGCAACTCGGAGGCTGAGCCCTTGGACGTGCAGTCTCAGAACTCCGGAAACTTTGCGCTACTATTGTGTGCGGCAGATTCGGGCGGCTATAGTAAAGGTTGCACCTCTGTCCCCAACTCCCTGCACGTGGGTGATGGGAACTTCACATGGCCCGATCTACGCGCGCCGACGCCAAACAACAGTCCATATGGCTCGAGCTCACCGTCTAATCTTGCCGTTACACCATTCCAGTGTACTTACCCCACATCCCAGATCGGCACCCAAAAAAACGCAGATGCGTGCCGACCGCAGATTCTCTCTTCCTCTATCACCCCATCTATACCAGGATATGTTCAACGAGTAGGAATTCCTGTTTCTCGAGAATGAGAAACTCCGATCTACAATGACACTTCTGGGCCGACGTTCATGAACGGTGTCAAGCCCACACGCCAGATGGATCAAAGGCTACAATATATTCCTGGCGCCATGGTGAATCGAAACCCAGCGTATGCCATGCCAACGTTTGGAGCCGCCGGAAATAATCAGTCACCATTCGCCATGGCTGACGACTTAAGGAATGGCTTCTCAACGACTACCAATTCAGCCCAGGAGGCGCACTGCCCATGCATTATCCGAGCGGAGTATACCCAGTAGCTGATGCGTGGCCGCAAACCGGATCTCAGGAACTGTCCTCCGACTACATACACCTTTCCACTAGCTACCTGGACAACCCGACAGGACTTGCGTATCCAATGGCTGCTCAGACCGTATTGGACACCACGCTTCCCGAAACTGCACTGCTCGAAGACAAGCGCAAAGACCTCCTTAATCTTATTCACTTGCAGTTCAACGAGACAGGTCACGCGCCAGTCATGGCGCAAAAGGAAGCCATCATGAAGGGCGATAAAGACGACAGCCGCCACGTAGTGAGTCTGTGTATGATGCAGTCGTACATCAGTTCGTACTGGAACCACGTCCACCCACAGTTACCGATCCTCCACAAGCCAACGTTCGACGCAAGCACATGTCCCGAGCTGCTACTGCTCGCCATGATGTGTCTCGGAGCTTCGTCCTTGGAGAAGAACTACGATCAAGAGACGACACAGTCTTGTGCTCAGCTGGCTGACTTTCTGGCATGGCACCTGCGTTGGGCGCTTCTCATGGACCCCAACGCCCGTCCACCAGCGAAACTATGGGCAATTCAGAGCCTGCTCCTTGTCGAGGTCTTTGAGAAGATGTACTCCACACGTCTGCTGCATGAACGGGCGCACGTCTACCATGCCACCACATTGACGATGCTAAGGCGAGGAAACTCGTTGACCGGGCGGTCAGCGATATATTCGCATCCTAGCGTCGAAGAGGAATCAAGTCGTGGCACCAGCGGAACAGGCAGACCCGATGAGTGGTGGAGCCTTTGGATCACGAAAGAGGCTACTACAAGGGCAACACTCGCGGCTTTTGTCATTGACATCATGCATGCCACCGTGTTCGGCCACAGTGCTGTCATGGCTACTCACGAGATGCGTCTTCCACTGCCATGTGACGAAGCTCTCTGGTCTGCAAGAAGTAGTTCTGAAGTTCGTCAGGCTATGCAGTCAGATTACGTCCATCCAATATCCTTCCTTGACGGCCTTAAGAAAGCGTTCAATAAGGAAGCGGTAAAAACCAGTCCGTTCGGACGCATGATACTTATGGCAGGCTTGCTGAACGGGTCATGGCATGTGAACCAGTGGGATCTACAAACCAGCTCGCTTGGCATGACAGCAGCACTCGATACACAAGACGAGCGGCTAGCATCCTTGATCCACGCTCTTGACTTCTGGAAGCAGGAAGACTGCCCTGCTCCGGATCGACATGGGTGTCGGGATGGTACTGGCGGCGATGACGTCTCCGAATCCCAGGTTGTCCTCTACCACCTGGCAAACATGGCCACACATGTCAATTTCGTCGACTGCCAGATCTATGCCGGTGCTTCCGAAATACTTGGGAAGCAGATAACCCCGCAAGATTGTAAAGACGTACAACGACGGATGGAGGAATGGGCTCCCACCCCCCGAGCCCGACACGCCACGTTCCATGCCTTCTGCTTGCTTTCCCGCGTCATGGTCAGAAGAGACCGCAGCCCGAACCCCAGCAACCCATCCAGCGACACTTCCTTCTACTCCGCGCGCGACGACCACATCCCATACCGATCATGGACGCTTTATCTGGCCACACTCGTTGTCTGGTCGTACGGCTTTGCGCTAGAAGGACCGGTTCAGACGCCGTGCCAACTCCTATCCTATGAACGCAAGGTCGAGGATATGGTGCTGTACCTCAATCGCATGGGAGGCGTGAAAACACCTGAAGATCTGAGTAAGACTTCGCATCGCAATGCTTGCTTGGGGCTGCTGATCATCACGCGAGACTTGTTTGTGCAGACCAGGTGGGAGTTGCTGCAGGAGGCAGGTCGTTCGTTAACAAAGTGCATCGAGATGCTGCTTCCCCATGCAGCCAGTGGGTGATTTGTGCATTCAGCGAGACCGTCTGTTTCTGGGTGTGTATGCACTAAATGTCTCAGTAGGAGATGATGAGGAAGCAGAACAGTTGTACCCTGCACGAGGTTGTTGCCAAAAGCACGGCTTTATATCACAGGGTTGCAACGTTCATACCAATATGTCAATAAGCGACGAGAATCTATCTACCATTCACTTCGTACATACCGCCGGTTTCTCAGGCTCTAGCTAGTCATTTGCAGTCGTACTGTCTTGGCCAGACCGCGCAAGGCTTATTCGATTATTCTAAACGTGTTATCGTGAGAAAACGTGTAGAATAGAA